CTAATAGTTAATCTGAGCTGAACGAGGACAGGTTTGCATTCAGCCAGAGGCGGCGCCCCAGTCAGCAGGACGCGGAAAGCATAGCACCCACCCCGCTCACGGCGTGAATGTCACTGCACGTCATTCGCAGATATGGCCTGTGGCTGGTCTGCAGGTGCCTCCCATAGCGGCCTTCCCACCCCACAAAGGGAGCCACGATCATCAAGATGGCCGCTGCGAGTAACCCCAAGACCGTAAGATTGTCCCAAGGTGACCAAGAGTATCACCATTTTGAGGTCACCACAGTGGGCGCTGGTAGCTATGGATGCAGCATCTATTACAGGAACTTCAATGATCAAAAAACTTTCTGAGATGTGCCGGGCAAGGTGATTCTGCAACAGAATCTCTGGTGATTTGTTTACCACTTGACCCGAATGAGTTTTATCATCCTTCGTGGTGACTCTGGCACATCACAGGAAAGGGAGACCCTCAGGGGACTCAAAATGTCCCGTAAACCTTGACTAGGGACGGAAGCGGTAGAAGCTAACTTCGGCCAACGCCGAAGAGCAAACTCAGCCCTGAGGCAGAGCCGCTGGCACCCGCGGCGCTGGCCGCCCCGTCATTGACGAGTGCACGTTCAAGGCCAAGATGCATTCACTTTCAGAAGCTTTGGACTTCCTGTGCCATGCCACCCTCTGCCCTGGCAGAGGCCACACTGTGAGGGGCCACTCCCAAAGCCATCGGGAGTGGGCGCTGTGGTTTCAAACAGAGCGTGCGGAGGCCGGGGGCGGCGAGTCCTGCCCCCAGCCCTGCCATGCACCCCGTCATTCCGAAACGGGCGCACTCCCCAGCGTTAACGCGCCCGCGGGGGTCAGTTAAAGAGGAGGTGGCAGGGGCTGCATGGCCATCACAGTGTCCATCCCCCCCGCCCTGATCCAGTCCTTCCAACCAGATCACCAGCACTGAGGGGTGGTTGCTGGTGCCCAGTCTGCGCACGCGGACACATGGACCGCGAGCCTGGAAACCCAGCTCCCGCCGCAGACTCTCCGTCTGAGAGCCCGAGCGAATCTCTGCGCGTCGTGTCACCACGGAGGTGGCCGACTCCCACGTGGACAGCCTTCTCCTTTCCTGTCCTGCTTCTGTGGCCGACACCTGCCCCTGACACAGGCCCGAGCACGTCTGAGAATTCTGCTCCAGCCGTTGTCCCCGGCAGCCACCACCAATTAGTCGGAATGCATGCAAAACTGGAAGCGGTTCGGCCTCTCAGCTTCGGAGCACGCGTGCGCGTGAGCGGCCTCCCCAGAGCCTGCTCTGCCATGAATTTCTCAGTGTGCCTGACGGGCACCGTGAGAGGCCGTGCTTGGGGTCACGCGCACGCACCTGTCACGACACGGCACCCTCGTAGGGAGAGAGCGCCCCGTGAGCACCTGCTCAGGGTCGGTGGGTGACAGTCACACAGGGATCCCTGGGGAGGCGGCGCCAGTGCCGGCCAGCACGCACGCGTGCCTGGCCACCAGGCCCTGCCGGCCAGCACAGGGCCGTTTCTCTCTTCAGTGAAAAGAGCCGAGGGCCAAGTGTTTCTCGCCTTTTTTCAATCAATGAGTTTTTAAGAATACTAATAGAATTATATTTTAATATGCAAAACGTTCACTAAAGGAAGACGTCTGAGAATCACTTACAGGCGCTCATCTTTGATCAGAATCATCTTTGGCTCACAAGCAGTCACTCACCTTGGGGGAAAAAGTGTTCAAATCAGAAGGCTTTGGAGGGACGAGGGTGTCGTGTGGATGTGTTTAGACTACGGAGACAAAGTTTGATATACCAGAATATGGGTCCCACAATCCTTCAAAGGGCTGTTAACCTTTTTGTAACATAGCGTGTCAGATGATTCCAGATGCATCGAGCAGCCGGTTAGCTAAGCGATGACGCGCCTGCCCCGGCCACCAGCGTGCCCGGGCGGGGCCCGCAGGCCAGGGGCCCGGCCAGGGCAGCGGGCACCATGTCCACGCCGCAGAGCAGAGGCCAAGCGCACAGACGTGGCATCAGACCCGGCTCTCAGGCTCCATCCCGCTGCCGTGTGACTTTGAGCGAATGACTGGGTCTTCCTGAACCTTAGTTACCTCACCTGCTGATGTCAGATTCGCTCGGTGTCACTCTGGCTGCCGAGCCTGGTGACGTCATTAAACTCTCTCAGAGTTTCTGAAGGGACCTGACACGCCTCTTCTCTCCATCAAAGGTTTGTACCCACTGCTGTGTCTTCGAGATGCTATTGAAATGCAGATGAGGATCAGCCGTTTTCTAGAGAAAACAAGCGTGCGCTCAAAAAGGCCCTGGTCTCCTTAAAGCCTCATTTCACTCATTCGGGCGCGAGATTTCAACACCAGCCTTGCCTGTGGCTTCGCTCTGACCCGCGTCTGAGAATGTGGTCGCCCCCACGTCTCCTCCTTTTCCAGCTGGGGTGCGGCACACGCAAGCCACGCCGGAAAGAGTCCTCTCCCTTTGCTCTTACCCTGCAGGACAGCTCGAAGGCATCGCTGGGGAGGGGCGAGGCCGGACTTCGGGACCCGCGGGCCCGCGTTCAGGTCCTGGCTCAGCCGCGCCCAGCTCTGTGACCTCAGGTGACACACTTGGCCCCTTTGGGAATCAGTTTCCTCACCTGTAAAATTGGATCCACTGCGGTGGGCATCATGAGGCTTAAATAAATCGATGTTTATAAAGCATTTTGAATAATGCCTGGCCCTTTCTGTTGCTGTTAAATGCAAAGTATCATCAACCCTTTCGCGCCAAACGTTGATGTGAGTTCTCCATTTTATTTTATTTTCTCTGCGGCGCCTGTTTTTCTGAAGGCTATGTTCTGTCTTATTCCGCTCCTGCTTCTAGTGGGTCCTGAATGAGGTATTATTAAATCCACTGCCTATTTCCTGTTAAAAGTAAATCTTAGGAAAGAAAAAAAAAATCAATCCTGTTCTTCACAAAACAATTACCTTAATAAAAAACCTCAGAAAAGTTCTCTCTGGGCATACTGCGACGTAACCATCTGTTTCAGAGCTTTAAATTGCTAAACAGTTTTCTCCAAAGAGATGTTTCTGCCGGCAGATTTCTTTCTTCACTTTTTCTTTTCACCTTTCAGGCTAAAATTACAAAAGTGAGATTTTCGTAAATACCACCATTTTGGCCCCGAGAGGGGCAGCCCATTTTGCATAGACGTGGCCGTACCTGTCCGTCCGTGCCAGGAACCGTGCGAGCTGCTCCAAATACATGGTCTGCTCAGCAGCCTTCGAGCTGGGTACGATGCTGCCACGTAGTTAATGAGAAAGACAGGAGTCTCTGGGTCATCTCCAGGCTAGGGAAGCGACCGAACCACAGCAGAGCACTTGGTTACAAAGCGGAACATCATTCCGTGTGGCCCAGCTGTCGCTTTCATCTGCAGCGAGACACGAGGTAGGGTGGTCAGTTGGTGGCTCCCCACCGCGATTTCTTGCTCTATGTCACCACCGAAAATGCTTGGGATGCTCGAATCCGGGACTCATCTTCCGTGGCTTCAAGCGGTGAGTGGACAGTGATCCGTCCCTCCCGCTCAGCTCCCACAGCGCCAGCAAGCTCCGGCCCCGGGGCCCGTTTGCAGGCCGAACACAGAACCACCGGGAGCCTCCTGTCTGAGCAGAGGTGCAAGTCAAATGTTCCGGCCAGTCTCAGTGGGACTCTAGGTCAGCCGTGTAACCCAGGGCTGTTGTCCTGAGAATGTGTCGTAGTGACGGGGATAAGTGACTGGAGCAGAAACAGGACTGTCCGTGTAAGATGAAGGCGTTGAGGTTGGCTTTCCGAAGGCGTCAGAGAAAGTCAAACAATAACGGTGCGTGGAGAAAGGAAGGAGAAAACCAGCATTCCGACACAGAAACGGAACGCTCGGCGACACCAAGCGGAGCTAACCCGGCCGCGTCTGCGCAAGGAGCAGATAAACCTTCTGCCACAAAGCGGTCAGCGACAGAAACGGTCCACAGCGACGGGGAAAGCTGGGGTGTGGGAGGAGCTTTCGAGGGACGACGAAAAGTTGGAGCATCATCCTGTGGCTACTGGAATTGTCGAGAAAGGCGGTGACATACACGTAAATAAACTATTTCAAAACAAGGCTTCTTGAAAATCTTAAGCACCAGGATTTAGATCGAAATGACTTCAGTATTTGCCATATGGTATGATAAAAAATTTCTATGACAATAAAGTGGCCAGTATCCACCTACCAACTGGTCTCCTTAAGTATTAATTAAGAAATATTGAGAAGCGGTTACTTTCTCGATTGGTTTGCCGTGTGCAAGGGATATAGAGTTAATTTACAAAATAAGGAAGTGAGCTGGCAGCCGTCTAGCCTGTTTCGTAAGGAGGAAAGCAAGGCCAGGATGTTTTAAGTGGCTTGCTCAAGATGCCACAGCTATCGGGTTTCCAAGTGAGGTCTTCCCTTATATGTGAGCAAGCGCCAAAGGACCTGGTTCTTAGGGGACACAGAGGTGGCCAGAAAACCCTCATCTGTGACCTGCCCCAAGGTGTATGGCTGCTACTAAGTGACCGTAACTGTCAGGCTGCTGTCTCTTTATTCCTGCATATCTACTGGAAATAAGTTATTCAGCAAATACGTAACCAAGCACATTATAAGTTTTTACTAGTACAACCATCATAAATAGATATGTCAAAACTTCTACAAACAAATAACTGTAAAAAAAGAAAATAACTATACGCAAACGGACAAATCAGAATTAGACTAACAATATGATCTCAGTGGATCATTTAAATGCTACATCCCATATCAAGTCTCATTTTTTTTTTTTTTTTGGCCTCTGCATGAATCTTGCCGGGATTCGAGTTAGTCCAGATTAGGTCTTAATATTAGTTACAGCTTTTTACTGGTGCTAACGTGTGCGTTTTCATCCAAACGAGCATAGTAATTCTGCCGGATTTACACGATTGCATTTTTAAGGACATAGCAGATTGTTATAGTAAAATAAAATTTTTTGTATTTTCTTCCACAGACTTGAGTCAAAGGAGCCTTTCCTGTCCGTTGGGTGAGTAGATGTCTAAATATTTTAAATCTCAATTCTTTAATCGATTTTTAATTCAAATCGACAAGGTCTTCTGAGATAGTATTTTCAGTCATTCAATCCCATATTCAAAGTCGTAGCGTATCACCGAGTGCATCATTTCTTCAGCAACATGGCTATGTGCGTTTTATAAAGACTTAAGTAAAATGTCCCCGAAACGGGTTCGTGACCTCAGAAATTCAGCGGAAGTATGTCCGTGAGCTCCCGTGTCCTCCAGAACCGCCACGCGGGCCAGACAGCCATCAGCCGCGTTCCCATCGCGCGGACGTGCGTTCAGATCGGTTTCGAAACGTCCCCTAAACAGCTGCTCTCACTATTTGCCGTCCGTCCGCTCACTTCGCACTGCTCCCCGTCGGCCGCTCGCTCTGCCTCGTCATCCTTGCCCCTCTCTCCCTCGGTCTGTCTGCATCTTTCCCCCTTTCTCCTCGTTCCCCTATTATCCGCCCTCTCCTCTCACACCGACTGCGTCTCTGCACACAAAGCTGAAGCAGACAGCTGCGTCTCCGCGGCATCGTCCTGCGCCACGAGAGCCTCATAGTAACGTACTGTTGACAGGGGCGCGCACCGACTATTTTCAGGCAATTAGAACTAGTTAAGAATGAGCAAAGTTGTTTTTAACTGATCTAGCAAAGAATCCCTTGACGGCCATATCACAGCGTCTGGCTAAGGGACTTTGGCGTGCTCGGGATCATGCTTCATGTAAAAACAGCAGAAAGCATTGAAAATGTGCTACCAGCTTAGAGGAGGAAGTCGTGCCGTATTTGATGAGGAGGAAAAAAAAAATCGCATCCAGGCAGCCGCTCTCCTCGTGCTTGATGGCCAGAAAAGGGGACGGGGTTAGATTTTTAAACGGTCACATCGGTTTTTTTCTATGCCTTTGTTCGTGGCCTTTGAATATTTCCGTCACTCGCTGAGCACCATGGTGCCCCCTCCTCTTCCTAGTCCTCATAAAAGCGTTTTCGGAAAGTCATCTGAATCACAGGAATCAACATAATCGTTTGGGAGGCTGGGAAGGAAAAACGGAGGACTTCGTGAAAAACGGAAGGTCAAGTTGCTCTGGCCCCAAGCAAGTCCTTCCCCCCGTTGATCATCAGCCTCTATTGTGAAAAATCTTTAAGCCTGAAAAAATCTTTTATTTTGAGGGCTGTGACCTGCCCTCAAGTCAAGAGGCCTCAAATAGCTTCTCCCCTTGCCTCTGCCTCTGCAGCGTCTCCGAGGCACTTCCTGTCCCCCCAGGCATGTGGGGATGGAAGTCACTTTTTATGGCATGCCTCCGTTCACAAGGGCAGGCCCCAAGCCAGCTTCATTTTAAACGGATCAGGAGTTCAAAACTCAGGAGTAGAGCCTGGAGGAAAAAGTTTCCAAAAAAGAGTGATTGATAGCTCAGCAAATACTCAAACGGGAGATGTGGCAGGAAGGAGATGCCGCTGCCCCGCGATGTGACTTAAAGGTAAAATGGGGTGAGACTCGCGCCTCGACGGCCCCACTGACCAGACAGCTTACGTGAGAGCTGACTTCTTCCATTTCCTCCAAGAAAACGAGTTTCAGTAAAGCTGTCCAAAAGCACGTGTGACTCTCCCAATCCTGTTCAGTAAGAGAACAGGTGAGAGTGACCATCAGAACACACATGGGCCAAACAGGTGACCGGTGACCTACTGTCGGAACCATTATTCAAATCTCGACTTGTATCTCGGTCACTTGCCGGAGGATTAACTGCGCAGTGTCCAGGCTGCGGTATCAGCGGCCACATGGCTGACACACTGAGATTTGCCTTGTACATCTCATGTACATTAATTAACGATAGTTCTGCGTGGAATAAAAAATATGTTAACGAATAAATCAGTGCTAATATTGTGTACTTCAGTCCATCACCGGGCAGAGTCTTAACGCACTTGTTAAAACGTACTTCTAGAAGTTGCTTTTGCTCTCCTAGGTCAGACACTTACAACCTAGCTGTATTAGTTTGGGCAATTACTGACTCCCAAGCTTCGGGTCCTTCATCGCGAAATGGAGATTAAGAAAGACAACTTAGACCGAGCGTCCAGCGCTGCTCTTGGCACACAGGAATTGCTCGTATTACAGTTCTAGAAGGTATAGTCATGGATAATGCTGTAAAAATATCAGAGTAAAACTCAACGTTTCCAGGCCATGCTTTAGGTTCCATGCGGAAGCTAAAAAAAGTTTCTAGAATGAAGAGAGAAAAATAAAAATTGCGACTGGAATAAGCTATCAAACAAGATGAGTACAGATATTCTGTTACCTATTTCAAGGGTGAATGCTAATAATTATTTAAATGGCTTAAATGAAAAGAAATACTGACACATTTTTAATGTGCATCTTCTCAATATAAATATGGGAGCAAATTTTCTCCTTTGATAAATGTGCTATAGGAATTATGAAATAAAATTTTTATGTCACAACAGAAACTCAATCTGAAAACATGAACAGAAAAATGCGTCAAAGAAAGCTCTAGCACAAGGAGGCACAGGCATTCGGGGGAAGATCACGGAGCTGGGGGAAAGTTCATGCAGTCTCAGTTCCCAGAGCCTCGGCTTAGGCTGATAATCAGAAGAACTTTCTTTCGTATGCGCCAGCCGAGGATTAATAAAATGATGTCAGTAGGAAAAATAAACAGTAAGATAAACTTTAGCACGAGGCGTGAAGGCTCATCCACAGTCCGATCCTGTCACCCAGGGTGGGTGGCTAGGGGCCGTGTCACCCAGGGCCACCCAGGCGGAAGCCACCATGTCCCTCACGCTCGTCCCCCACGCTCGTCCCCCGCTACCCCCGAGACACGCACGGGGTCTCCCTACAGACACGTATGGCCCCGGGGGCCCCTGCCGGAAACCCTAGAAACACGGCCGCTCCGGTTTGGGAGCACGTGGCGGGGGCGGGCGCACTGACCAGGGACCGCCACGCGACACCCACGCGACACCCACGGGAGGCAGGGGGAGCACCCGGGCGGGGCGCGGCCACGTCTGCTCCGAGCACAGGGACCGGAAACACGTGTGATGCCACCAGGCCTGGGGTGACGCTAAGCTTCAAATGTTAAATTATTAAATAATGTCATCTAAATATTTAATGCGTAGTTTTATTAAATGTTAATAACAATGTGTTATATTTTAAGTTATTATAAATGTATTTCATACAAATGTACTTCTTATGTGGAATGTGTATTACATCCATAATTTATTGTAAATAAATAATGTAAAATATTTAATTATAAATAAAACGAATTTGAATAATAGAATTAAAATTAATTTTTTTTTCTCATCTCACTTACGTAACAGGAAAAAATATCAGTTAAGTGACCTTGGTTTTCAGTGTGGAGCGTAGGCTTGAACGCTGGTCAAGTACTAAATGGCGGATAATCTCCTCCCCCTCAGAACATTACATTTTAAAGCAATTAAGAAAACTCTGCTGGCAAACTCTTTCTTTCCTGTGCCATCAGCTAGCTCCTGACTGGGGAAGTAAGCGGGAAGAGCACGGGCATTGAGTTTGCATTTAGAAAAAGAACGAGAACCCAGTGATCTTTCCGATGAAGTTTCTAAGGAGTAAATCTTAATGTAACGCTGTTCTTGCCTTGAAAAGGCTTTTCACGGTTTTTTAATGAAAACTACAGAGGAGGGGGAAAGAAAGCTCTTGTCCTTTTGACGTTTCAGAGCCACAGTGTAGAAGGACGTGTCCAGGCCACGCATTAGTTAGTTCTCCTCAAGTATAAGTGACCCGCAGACACAGAGTGGCTTTAAAAATACACTCAAGGCCCTAGATGAAAACGTCCAGTGAGTTATTTCTTCTTAACCTCTGCAGCATGACGTCGACCTTTTAAAAGAAGAATTTTAATATGAATGATTGTATTTTAGGACCGAAACTTTGATGCACACCAATTTCTCAGTTGATGAATTTTTGCGTGAGTGGCTTTATCATGAGAATGATTATTTATTGCCTGGGTAAAAAGAAAAAAAAAATCAGACTTTTTCACGGCATTAGAATCATTTAAATAACTCAGACTAATTTAAAAATTATATTGATAGAACTCGGAATATATTCTTTTTCAAGCTTGGCTGAGAGGCATTCAAAAACACATCAAGGATGAAAATTTCTCAGTTATTATGTTTGTCTCTATGGCAGCACCGGCCCTGTGAGTGAGCCGATGCCAGCCCAGCCCAGCCCAGCCCGGACTCCTAGTTTTTGAGATGCGCTAATGCTGGGCCTGCTCCACTCAGCCCAGACCGGAGGGTGTGGACATCGCCAGGGCCCCGTGGCTCCCCCTGCATCCCAAACCGACCCTCCCATAATTGCTAACAGTTGTATTTTGTGAAATAATTTTCCCCCTTTTCTTTCCAGTGTTGGAACTGAGTTTGGATCTTCGGTATACTTCTGTTATTGTGAAGACGTAATTAAACCTTGACTCACTTATTCGGTCAAAAATTCATACCATTTTACTTTGATCCAGGTTTCGTGTGAGAGCTGGTATTTACTAGCAGCTGCCGTATGCGATTACACTATCAGCAATCGGATTTCCTTGGCTCGCGTCCATTCTCTCCCTTCTAGACGGGTAGCTGGAGCCGTCTGTTCGACTGTTCCGAGCCTCCACGTTCTCACCTGATGTGATCACTAACTCTTAGGACTGTCGTAAATTAGGTAGCATGGCGTGGTATTTGGGATAGTGCCTGACACACGGTAAACAGGAAGTAAACGCCAATTATGATCAATATTCTGTGCGACCAGCAGGTTATATTATACATCTTCCCTGAAGGAGTACGTTCCACCGAGATACAGAAATTCTAACTAGCTGAATCCAGAGACCTAAAGGCTCTGGATGGCATGAGGCAGGGAAGAAATGAGGTCGAATTCTGGGAGCAGAAGTGAGAACAGTGAAATGAGCGCGGGCGTGATGACGGCCTCACCGGCAGATCCGGAGGAAGTTAGACAAGAAAAAGGAGAAAGAGCAGCGTGGAGTC